AATATTTATTTAAGAAAACAAGCTTTAAAACCATTAATTTCTCTAAAATAAAGAGAAAGAGAGTAAAACCAGTCACTGTTTAACTCAAGGTTTCTATTCATAGCAAATTCGTACCCTAATAGATTGGCACAGTAGGTGCAATAATGGGCTCAAATATGCCTACTGTTGTGAGGCTAGCACATGACTAGGTAATGTTTCATTGTGTTAGAGATGAAATTCTATAAATCAGAACTGACTTGATGACACCTAACAGAAACAAATGGCTTGGAGTGATCATAAATAATTTCTCAAACTTGAATACTACGTTGTGAGCAGATAGGGAAATACCTTGGTCAGTGATCTGGTTCATATTTATGTTGCTGTATACACATGTACACACATACAAGCATATACATGCACACACTGCATCCTACAGGACAACAACCCACACTCACGAGGTATTATCTCTCAGAGGACACACTCTCTGAGGCTTCAGTGCATCATTTTCTGCTCCTTTCACCATGAAGTGACTTTCAAAGTGAAAAAACAACATTTTATAGACTACGACTGTGGAATACCATGATGGCATTTAAGATAATCAGTAACTCAACAAAGTATTATTGCTGGCAGAAGCAAGACAGAGAGGAAAAGTAAATCAGAATATAAAATAATTGAGAGTATATCTGTGCCAATGAGAATAAATCTCTGCCCTCTCCATGAAAAGGTGTTCCTGGGACCTCTTAAATAAGATAGGTACAGCTGAGGGGTGTTGAGATGTCCCCATGCTGGCTCCTCCTCATAGACAACCTCTACATGATCAACTTGACTCAGGGTCCCTCCTCATAGACAACCTCTACAAGGTCAACTTGTCTTAGGGTCCCTCCTCATAGACAACCTCTACAATGTCAATTTGTCTCAGGGTCCCTTTTGTGGAAGTCTTTGTTCCATACACTTACTTGCTAGGCTATCGCATCTACTTCCATGGATTCATTACCATCTATATTCTGGCAACTCTCAAATGTATTTCTGAACTGTTGATGTCTTCACCTAAACTTCAAAGGAATACCCAAATGCCTCTGTCTGCTGGTTGTCTTATAAGTACCTGAATTTAGAAAGTCCAAAATTGCCAATCTGCTCCTACATGTGCATGAGAGGAAAGCACCCCCTTAAATCTTACTCTTCTAAAATCTTGTCCTTTCCTGGGACATCTCCAGTTCTTCCCTATCCACTTCTGACCTTTGATCAGCAAATTCTGTCAGCTTTACCTTGAAAACATATTCATTTCACAGAAGGCCCTCTAGTTAATGCTCCCTTTACTCCTCATCTAGATGAGTTCAGACAACAGCAAACCAGTGTCCTTGCTTTCCTCCTTATCTCCCAATAGTCTTTTCTCTTCTCACCAATAAGCATAGTCAGAGATCATGCCACTCTTGTGCTCAAATCCTCCCTACCTCTTATCTCACTCAAAATAAAAGGCAAAATTCTCGCCATAGTTTACAAGGTCAATGACGCAATGATCTGCTATCCCTTGTCCCACTTTTTGCCTGTCCCAAATCCTCAAATTCTCTCTACGGCACCTTGTATACTCTGCCTTTTCCACATTGGCCTCCTTGCTGACCTTCAAACGCACTGTGCACTTTCTAGACTATGAGCTTCTGCTTAGAATATGGATTCCCCAGACATCTGGAACAATATGCAACATCATGATAAACGGAAAAACTACTGAAATTGTCAAAATTGTCATTTTACTTGGATCTACAGTCAACACCCATGGAAGCAACAGTCAAGAAATCAAATGACCCATTGATTTGGGTGAATCTGTTGCAAGAGACCTCCTTAACGTGTGTTAAAAACCAAAGGTGTCACTTTGAGAACCCAAACCATGGGATTCTGAATTGCCTCATATACATGAAACAGTTGGACAATAACTAAGGAAGACCATAGAAGAAGTGACGCATTTGAATTATGGTGTTGGCAAAGAATGTTGAATATATGGACCACCAGAATGATCAAATTTGTCTTGGAAGAGGTATAGCTAGAGTGCTCCTTAGAAGGGAGGAATAAGTATCAGGACATGTTATCAGGAGGAACCAGTTCCTGTAGAAGTACATTATACTTGGTAAAGTAGAAAGTTACTGAAAAAGAAGAAGTTCTAAATGAGATGGACTGACCCTGTGGCTGCAGTGATGGACTGAAACACATCAATGATTGTGATAAAAGCACAATACTAGGCAGTGGTTCTGTTGTACATGGATCACTGTGAGTCAGAACCAACTCAGTGACACCTAACAACAACAACAGTCTTTACTGTTTTCCATGGAGTAGCTAGTTCAAACAGCTTACCTTTCAGTTAGTAGTTGAGATCTTAACTGCTGTGCCACTATCTAGAGCAAGGGAACATTATATGCAAACTAATGAAAATGAAGACGATGGTTTGAGAAGAAACAAGGTGTTCAATATGGCAGGAATGTGCATAATGACAGAAAAAATCTGAAAAGGTAGGCCAGAATCAGTCCATAGGGAGCTTATTGCCAGATTGTATTTTATAGAAAGTGAGACATTATTGAAAGGTTTTAAGCAGGACAGTAACATGATAAATATTGTATTTTTAAATAATCTTCTGGCAGTGATTTGTGAGATGAGTTGGGATACATTGAAACTGGAGGCACGTGTGTCATCCTAAGGAAGAGATGATGACGGCTAGTTCAGAACAGCAATATTACTGACGGACAAGACCTGGACTTGAGTGCCACAAGATAAAATTGAAGATATGATATTTCAAATAGATCAAAAACATAGGGAAAAATAACATCATAAGATTTCTCTTCCTATTCATGCAATTGTACTGATTAAAATTTTCAGAATCAAGAGTATTGTCTAGGTTAGGTAAACATTATATAATTTTCCAGATAAGAATAAACAAATATTTTACAAACAGTAGTATTTAATATTTGTATGTTGAGAAAATCAATAAATGTGAAGATTAAAAATTTTTATTTTACAGGATTTTTAAAGACATAAAACATAAACCTATTTAGACATAAAGGAAAGTAAAAATGATAAACAAGGACTTTTCTTTATGACATTATCATAAATGTCAAAAAGTAAAATGTTATTACTTTTACCTTTAAAACCTTATCTTGGGCTGTTGTTGCTGTTAATTGCTGTGGAGTGAGTTCTGACTCATAGCAACCCTGTATAGGATTTCCGAGGAGCAGCTAGTAATTTTGAACCACTGACCTTGCCGTTCAAACCGACCTTGTGGTCCAGCACGTTATCCTACAGTGTAGCTATCCAAAAATAAGGACCAGTAAATTAAGTTACTCGGATATTTCCTATGCTGTGTAGATTTAAACTGTTTAATTAGATGACCAGCCTATTATCAATTCATGTGGAGCATCACTGTATATCCATTAGAAAGATGTTGCTTTTACCCCAGTAATAGATGAATTGGTTCCATCTGGAATTTGTAAGAACCAATTGTAGTCAGTATTTTCAATGGATGATAAAGCTCAGAAATACAGAATCTTAGTTAAGATAATTATTAGCTGCCAGAAGAGACTTTAGTTAAGTTTCGTGAAGTACGTTCCAACTCATAGTGACCCTGTAAAGGGTTTCTGAGAAGCAGCTGGTAAGCTGACCTTGCACTCTGAGGATCACAAGTTCAGTGGTTCAAACCGACTTTGCAATTCAGCGCATTAGCCAGCAGCACCACACCAGAATTCCAAAAGAGACCTAAGACCCTAAATAATATATTTATAAATAATCAATTCACACTTATGAACATTAGTACATATTAGTGGATAGTTAGCTATATTAAAGTAAAAAAAAATCTTTATCAGTAAAAATCTATTTTCATTAACATGTTAAAGATCATCAGTCTAGATTATACTTAATATTGAGTGGCATGAAATACTAAAGAGGAATTGTTACAAAATATTTTGTTGAGAAGTATTTTAAAAGCCAGTTTACTGGAAAGTAAAATTTTGATACTTTGAAAGATAAGCTTTTGAGTACTTATGTAGATTGATACATTTGCCAAATTCTCCTGAAATGATATATATTTCCCATTAAGTCAGTGGGAACTCTCTATATGAACAGATAGTTTTCTTTTTAATCACAGCTTTCTGTCTATGAAGTGAATCACTTAAAGATATTATTGCTTAGGTTATAAAATTGACCTTCAGAGTGATTACAGCCTATGAACCAATGCTTCATGCAGCCCCACCACTCCTTGGTCCCTCTATCCCCCTAAGAGAAGCCCACCAGTAGTCTAGCACAGTGCTAAGAAATCTTAAATTAAAAGCTACGGTGCATAAAGAGATGAGGAAATTAAAGCAGTTTTCACCATCAAACATAAAAACGAGTTAAACCATGGCCTTTAAAAAAATGTATCATTTTCTGAATGCTTTTAGGGGTGACATTGTGCTACAACATTTAAAAATATTTTCAAATGACATTTTACATTTCATGAATTTTACATGAACGTGGTTAATTATATACATTATTTCCCTTTGCCTGAGAACTATAATGCTGTAGGGTCTCTCCAGCCCAAAGTAAATGCCATAAATTGAGTATGTTTGTCTCAGAATGAGAATTGGGATATTTAAAGACAAGTAACTACCCAAATCACCATTTATAACCTAAAAAGAGTAATATATCTCCAGATGTACTTAAAACACAGCCCAAATAAATATTACTTGTGTAAAATCTAGCTTGTTGAGAAAACAGTTACAGCAAGTAACACAAATAATTTTAAAATCCTCTAATAGAAGTTAGGATAATTATAAATCAAACACGTAGTTCTTAATATTCCCAATTACTTACAAGTATACATTGAGATAACAGCATTAAAGCAGCGAAATGTATACTTTTCAACTTTATTTCTAAGGCTGTGTAGTATAAGAACCCACTACTCAGAGATGCATTTTTGAACCATAGAACAAATTTGAATCAAGGCATTTTCTGAAGTGCTGAAGCCCTATTAGGTAATAAAATGGGCAGGAATGGGTTTTAGTGATTTACGGCTTAAAGTTTTTGGGTCTAATCATCATTTTGGCCTCTTTGAAGGAGAACTTGTAGCCACCAGGTTGTGCCTCATTTATACCAGGCCAAGTGCCCCAGAAAATCCCATTCCGGACACCTCTATATTTTTGATGATAATATTTGCCATTTAAGTTAGCAGAAATACACGCATCAAACCACCAACCTGAACTATAGAAGAGCCCACAGTTCCCAGAGGGATACCGATCGTTATCTCTATCTGGTGTGGTAAAAAATTTCATATCATGGTTATAGTGCTTACTGAAATGTAAGGCATCTCCGGCTGTGCCATTGTAGTTACCAATGTGTACACGGTATTTCAGAAACTCGTTAGCCACATAAAACTGATCATACAAGGCGTATAGTTTAATACCACTGAAGTCTTCAAGATCTATTCTCAGAATCATGTCTTTACTCTTGGTCAGAAGATGGATTTTATCATTGCCCAGCCAAAATTCTCTTCTGAGATTTCCAAAGCCTACTTTGTAGTCTTGCCATGTTCTGTTGAAGTTGGTGCTTCCATCGAGACGTGCCTGCAGTACTGTCCAGCCTCCCCCCATGGTCTCCATGTCACAGTAAACTTCGAAGCTACTGTATTTGGGATCAGGTGTAACTCTGTAGGTCTCACTGCTTCTTTTGCCTATTGCATGGTAGTCCGAGCAATCTTTATAGATTAGATGTTGGACTGAAGAAGGAAGAAAAGGAAGGCATTGGATTTTGTTAGTGAAACCATGCATTAGAATCATTCTTTAGATGTACAAAGACAGTTTGACAATTCAGTCATCCAATGACAATATTGAAACCTTGCTCTGCTAAACCTACTTGAACTTGTTTAGCAAATATTTAATGAGTGAGAGATAGTTGTCACAAGACCCTAAGAACTGCATTTTATGACCTGGTGTGTTATTAAAGCAGAACAAGGCTCTCAAACATACTTTTGATTGATAATAATGACAACACCAACAACAAACTACCATAATAAGAATACCATATCAAAGTAATGGTAGCCATTTTGTGAGTGAGGTCGTACTGGTAAGTAAGTTCAGAGCCCTGTTATGGCACTGTAGGATAAGCACTAGGCTGTTAACTGCCAAGTTGGTGGTTCAAACTAACCAGCCACTCCTCAGAAACCCTATACAAGGTCACTCTGAGTAGGAACTTAACAACAACAATCACCTATATGTTTCTAGGTAGTACTGTGCCAAGGACTTGATCAAATTTCCACACTTGCCTTACACATTGACTTTATGGTATAGGTATTAGTCTCAATTTTTAGGTGAGGATATTTCAGTTCAGAGAGGATCCGTGCCTTGCTCCAAGTTCACGTAAAGAATAAGTGCTAGAGTCAGTACTGGCTGCAAATCAGCACTGCATTTTTTGGTCCTGAAAGTTAGATATTTCCAGTTCTCCTAAAACCAGTGGAAGCACAACTTCTATTTCCTTTCACTTAAAGGAATAAGGAGCACTGGTGGTGCAGTGGTTAAGCACTTGGTTGCAAACTGAAAGGTCAATGGTTGGAACCCACCAGCTGCTCCATGGGAGACATATGATAATCTGTTCCCATAAAGATTTACAGCTTTGAAACCTCTGTAGGATAGTACTTCCCTGTCCTGAAGGGTTGCTATGTGTCAGATTTGATTCAATAACCATGGGCTTAGCTATTTTATTTCTTCTGAAAAAGAGCTGATAATCTCCACTGTCAGTAGTTCTTATAGGATATATTCCAAATTATGCATTTAAAAATTCTAATATACAGCATTGATAATAGATTCACACTTATTTTACTTGCATGAGAACTAAATAAGGAAGATCAGGTAAAAACATTTTTTCAGTGACATACTAATATTCTGAATTTACTGTCCAGGAATTTATAGTGTTTCTCATGTTTGGTTTCTAGAAAGAAATGATTGGTGATTGTGTTCAGGATAAAGGTAATAATCAATTAACAGGGTTTTCAGGAATCCAAGATAGATATTTACTCCCAAATCTTTTTTATAATAATCTTGTCAGATAACTTTAACATAATAGGCTTATATTAAAACCTATTAATGTATATTTAGAACTCATAATATTCAGATACTCTCCCAAATCTTTTAGTAGAAAAATAGAAGTGGAATCTTGTTTGCGTAATTCCAAGTTGCCATGCAACACCAAATCTAATATACATCTAGGCATGTCACCTTAAACGTTACCCTCTGTCCTAGCTGTGTGCAGGGCACATTCAAATACAGGCTGTCAGGGCTACTGGCTGTGGTGCTAGGAACCCCAATCCACCGTCACTAGCAAGTTCCCTGGGGGTAGGACATGCCTGCAGTACTTGTTGCAAATGAACAAACATTTTACATTTCATGAATTTTACATGAACATGTTTAATTACATACATTATGTGCCCTCTGCCCAAGCACCAGGGTCCCTCAGCCTCACACTCATGGTAAGTAGAGCTCTTCATGCAAAGCTGGCTTTTACCCAGTATAAAGAGTCCATCACAGCTTGTTCCAAGAAAGCAGGTGGGAAGCCCGGTTTGGAGGGACCAGACACACTGAAATTTCATGGGCAGAGTATGTGGTTAGGTGTTTGGTCTTCAGCATGTATTTACCAAAGTTAACTCAGGTGACTAGATGCTAAGGGTGGGTTTTTTTTTTTTTATGTACTGATTTTTATGATTCTGATATAAGGTAAAGAAATAAGAATGTATTCCTTCCTGCCTGCGGGCCATTTAAGGCCCATGAAATCATTGGATCTGGCCCTGCCATAATACTGTTATTGTTGTTAAGTGCCATCTAGTTGGTTTTACTCATAGCAACCCTGTGTAGGGTTTCTGAGGAGCAGCTGGTGAACTTGAACCGCTGACCTTGTAGTTCAAACTGAACTTGCAGTCCAGTGCATTAACCCAAAGCACCATCACATTGTTGTTGTTGTTAGGTGCCATTGAGTCGGTACTGACTCATAGCGACCTTATGCACAACAGAACGAAAGACTGTCCGATCCTGGGCCAACCTCACTATCGTTGTCACGCTTGAGCCCATTGATGCTGCCACTTGGCCAATCCATCTTGCTGGGGGTCTTCTTCTTTTTCTCTGACCCTCCATCTTACCAAACATGATCTCCTTCTCCAGAGACTGGAGTGACAAACTACTTCCGAATATTTAGTCACAGAAAACCTTATGAATAGCCATCACATTGTTGTTGTGAAGTGCCATCGAGTTGGTTCCAATCCATAATAACCCTGTATAGGGTTTCCAAGGAACAGCTGGTGAGCTTGAACTGACAACCTTGCAGTTCAAATGGCTTTGCAGTCTGGTGCATTAACCCACAGCACCACAACCGGGGCTCCAGCCATCATATTAGGGGTGAGTTAATTAAATGTTTGACCAAATATATCAGGGTAATTTTTAAGTTGATACTTTTGTTTTGCCCTTGAATGATGTTATAAATATTCAAATGGGCCGTGGCAGAAGAGAGGTTCCCCACCCCTGCCTTAGAGGCATACCAAAACTCTCCCCTTACAATCTTGTTGTGCTACAAGGTCTCAAAGCAAAATGTTTTGTACACACATCAAGCCAGAGAGTTGCTTTTATTCCATCTACAAATGCTCCTCGTTTTGCTAGCTATTTGGAATTGTGTCTGCAAATTATTTGCTAGAAGCCTTTCAAAGATCTGTTGCTGCATGAGAAATTGTGTGGTGCTGTGGGTTAATGCACCAGACTGCAAAACTGTTTGAACTGCAAGGTCAGCGGTTCAAGCTCACCAGTTGCTCCTTGGAAACCCTATACAGGGTTACTATGGGTCGGAATTGACTCGATGGCACTTAACAACAACAACCATAAGGCAATCCTCCAGAAACTGATTTTCGATAAACGGAACATAAATGTAAACATTGCCTAATCTCTGTTGTTTCCAAACACTTTAGTGAAGAGATAAATGAATTAAATACCCCAAAACATTAAGAAATTCTCCTTCCGCTTCTGCTTGTGTATAGGTCTAGCTAGCATCAGCAAGTAAGATCTCAGAATGGAAAGTGCTTCTTAACCAACCCTAACAGTCTAATTCTGGTTTATGTCGTTCAGCCATATAGCATTTCTGTGGTCACATTTACAGAGGCATGTGTTTTTCTGTTAAACAAAAGGGTTATTTTTTAAATCCATCATTCATTTAAATTATTTACTCAAGTTAATGTTTGTAGATACTGCATAACTACCCAACATTAACGAACAAATAAGGAGACATTATTATACATACCTGGACGTGATTGTATTTCTTCTTGGCTAGAACACTTGGATGAACATTTGCCATCCAAACTATTGACAACAAATGTTAGATTGGCCACTTTTCTGTCAACATAGTTTTCTACATTGTTCATATTGATGAGATTCAGCTTCTCCAGGCGACCTTGAAGCCCATTGATCTCTTCTTTTGCATTCTTCAGGTCAGAGGACAGCTTGTTAACCTCACTCTCTAATTCTCTTACTTTCTTGTCAGCAACCTCTCCCGGGGTTTCAGTACTGGGTTCCAGCAGTCCACTCCTACCAGGGTCTCCACTGTCATCAGCCTGCAATCTACAGTCTTGGCAAGATTTCTTCATGTTATTTACCATTTCTTTGAGGTTCTGCACTTCTTTGAACACCTCCTCAATCCTGCTGAAATGCTTTGGGAGCTGAAGAGTCAGAGGGGGCAGGCTCACCTGGAAGGGGCATTCTCCTCTCTCACATTTCTCTCGGCTCTCCAGCTTCACATGGCAGGCATCCTGCAAGGTCTCATCTCTCACTTCCTCCGTTTCATTGTCTGCCACAACCAGGACGCTCTGAGCAAACAGGACGGCTGAGCTCAGCCAGCACAAGTGAGCAGCTAGCCTCATCTTCACGGTGACGCTCAGCCCAGCAGGAAAGTGTGCAGGCTGGAGCTGCTTTAATAGCAGCAGCTGCCTGAGTCAGGCTTTCTGTGTTCCCAGAAAAGGGCGGGAGTGCTTGCATCACAAATTTCAGAAATGTAGAGGAAGAGGAGCTCGTGCACGTTAATGCAGACTGCCACAGACAACCAGTTATTTATTCTCAAAGTAAGACGTATCAGAATTACTGCGGTGGGTCAGGTGTACACATTCAAGACACTTCACTTCCATGCCTTAGTTTGCAAAGCACAAGAAAAGTCTTATATTTAAAAAACAACAACAACTTGTAGTAAGTATGTATGAAGTAAATCATTTAATTACACTTAATGCCAATGGAGAAATGTTTTAAAGATAAAAATTAGTATGCTAGAGATCTAGACAATCTGAAGAACAAAAATGTACTAGCATAAAAATTGTTCTCCTAGAATGTGGTATTGTGGATCTTGTCTTTTCTTCATGTTGGACTTTTGAAAGTCTGACGAAGTGCAGCTTCTTGACTCTTGCCATGTTTTTTTTTTTTCTTTCTTCTTCTTCTTCCATATGTTGAAAAATTGGAGAAATACTTGTAGAGAAAAAAATTGCTACTTTCTCCTCTTTTGACCACATAGCAAAGTCTTGTATAAGTGCCTAAATGATGAAAACACATTTAAAAGAATATCACTGTCTTTCACTGAAACCAGCAACCTCCTCTTCTTGGCCCATCACTGTGTTTATGATTATTCTGTCATCTTCCATAGCAGCCCAAATGCCAATCCTTGATCTATGCGGCTCTTGGGCTATATTTTGTATTTTTTCTGTAGCTGTCTGTGATTTCCATTCCCACTTGCAGTCTGTCCTCTATGCTTTCTCCTCAGCCCCAGTCTCTATGTCCACTCATAACAGTGACTTTTAAACTTTTCTCCTCAGAAAACAAGGGCAAAAATCTAAGAAATGGTCCCCTTTACATCGGTTTTGCAGATAAGATATTCTCAAAATGAAAGCCTTTTATGGCTTTAAAAATAATTTCAAGATGCCTGACAAGTATAAAAATCCAAATTCTTTATTGTATATATTAAAGAAATGCGTAATCTACCTCCGATTTATTTCTTTAACCTGATTTCCTAGGACTTCTTTAGACAACCCCTTCCTTCCAGCCAAACTACCCTATATACTCTGTCTCTGTATGCCAGGCTTGCTTGATACTTACACAACTGTGTTGATATCATTTCTCTAGTACCCGCTCTGCCTATCTAATTCTGCTTCAAGCCCAAGCCTCACATCCTTCCTGAAGCCTTCCTGCATGTAACTGGCATTGTACACATTCTCACTGCCACACACATACCCACACTGTATTTATATCCATACATATATCTGTGTATACAGGTCCCCAGGTTGTGAATGAGATCCATTTCTGTGTCTTTCAGAATTGGTAGGTAAGTTTTATCGGGTGCACATAGTTTTTATTTAGCCGTACTAATACAAGAAAAGGTTTGAAGCCTTTTCAATGATTTAAAAGCTGCATGTGCAACAAGTAAAGGTGACTGTGGTGAAGAATTTGTAGGAGTCCTGGTGTGGCGCTGTAGGATAAGCACTGGACTGCTAACCGCAAGGTCAGTAGTTCAAGCCCACTAGCTCCTTGGGTCTCTATGAGTGGGAACTGACTAGAGGGTACTCAACAACAACAACAACAAAGAGTTAGTTTAAGCATTTCAAAGTGAGAGCAAATGTATGTAACCTTAAAGGGGCTAGTAGGAGTTGTCTGTACATCTGAAGGGCTTGGTTAGCCGGTAACTGCGGGTGTGTAGAATGAGAGGAGAGATAGAATATTATCTTCTCTTAATCTTTATCCAGTAAGTGAGGAACCATATACCTCCTGATAAAAATTTAAGAGACTTGGATTGTACCCCTTTAGGTGCCTCTTAACTGAATGTATGGATCATTCGCTTCACAAAACCAGAGTTTATTTGTTTTTAATTCTCTTTAATTCTTTAATGAGGACTTTTGTTTTTGTTCCTGCATAACAGGAATGATAGTAATAAAAACCTTGAGTGCTTTTGAAAAAAAAAAAAAAAGCACTATGTATAAATATAACATTCTTTCCAAAGAAATTTGTCAAACATGTTCTACACACCTTCTGTCTCATTTTCCTCCATCTTTTTCCATTTAAAAAAAAAATTAAGTTTTTCTCTTTATTCCATTAAGTATAGTCAAACTAATTTTATATAAAGGTTTTAACTTTCTGACTAAAAATATGTAATATTCCCTTAATTGCATTCTTCTCTCCTTACCCACATTCAAACTGTGACCTTCACTTGTTACAAGGGAAGAAAGAAATAAATGATTTTAAAATAATAATAATAATAATAATTGCTGTGGGGTTGATTCTGACTCAGAGCATCCCTGTATAGGGCTTCACAGGCAGTAAATCTGTACTGGGCACAAAGACTCTACTTTCTCCTTCAGAGTGACTGCTGGATTTGAACTGCTAACCTTGAGATTACCAGTCCAGTACTTACCCTACAGTACCACCAGGGCTCTTAACTAAATAATTAGATCATTTTTAAAAAAAAAAAGAAAGAAGGATAATATAGATGAAAAGATATTTCATAAGTTGTTTTATGTGCCGTGGAGTCGGTTTCGACTCATAGCGACCCTGTACGGTGTTTTCGAGGCTGTAAATGTTTATGGGAGCAGAAAGCCTCATCTTTCTCCAATGGAACAGCTGATGGTTTCGAACTGCTGACCGTGAGATTAGCAGCCCGATTCATAACCACTGCTCTACCAGAATACTGATTGTTAAATACCTATGACAGTCTAAGGTATGACTTTATCTATTTAGCCAATATTTTTTAAGAACCTTGTATATACTCAGCACTAAGAGTCATAGCACAACCTCTTTCATTTATTCATATGTCACATAATAACTGAACACCTTCTCCATGCAAGGTACTATTCTAGGCATTTTGACTACCCTAGTGAACAAATCAACAATCCATGGTGGCACAGTGGTTAAGCGCTTGCCTACTCACTGAAAGGTTGGTGGTTTGAACTCACTGGCCACTTGGTGGGAGAAAATACCTAGTGATTTGCTCCAGTAAAGTTTATGACCTACATACAAGGACAGTGAACAAATCAGTCATAAAAAGGGGCATTTAGAACACTACTTTATTTGTGTTAAATTTTCAATTGAAATAATTAACAATTTTCAAAGTTTCTAAATCTAAAAAAGTCTACCTTTCTGATTCTTGGAGTAGACTTTTGGTTCATTAATTTAAATACGGGATTTGTTTACCATATAATTTTAAAATTATAGAATCATTTATTTAAGGGGCCCTGGTGGTACTGTAGGGTAAGTGCTGGACTGCTAATCTCAAGGTTAGCAGTTCAAATCCAGCAACCACTCAGAGGAAGGAAAATGAGGCTCTCTGCTCCAGTACAGATTTACATCCTGGGAAGCCCTATGCAGGCTGAATCTTGAGCCCTTCACAACTCACTTAGTTCTGACTCACAGAGACCCATGTACAACAGAAAGAAGCAGCAGTATCCTTCAATCATTGCTCTTTTGCCCTGATAACATATCCAAAGTATACATGAGATGAACTCTCACCTCCTTGCTTCTAAGGAGCATTCTGGCTGCATTTCATCCAAGACAGATTTTTTTTTGGTCTTCTGGAAGTCCATGGTAGAACATTCTTCATCAACATTGTAATTAAAGGCATCAACTCTTCTTCAGTCTTCCTTATTCAGGGTCCAGGTTTCATATGTATGTGTATGAGGCAGTTATAAAGACCACGGCTTGGGTCAGGTGCACCTTAGTCCTCAAAGTGTTATCTTTGCTTTTTAATACTTTAAAGAGTTCTTTTACAGAATATTTGTCCAATGCAATATGTTGTTTCATTTCTGACTGTTGCGTCCATGGATATTGATTTGTGGATCCAAGTAAAATGAAATCCTTGACACCTTCACTCTGTTCTTCATTTATCATGATGTTGTAGTCTTTGATCTTCATCATCATAAGTGTTGCAAGTCCTCTTCACTTTTAGCATGTGCTGATGTGTAGTGTGTCTGGCCAACAGAAGGTAATCTATGCTACATTAGTTAATAATGGGAACCTTCACCACCCTTACTGCCCCTGGACCATGTTTGGTAACCAGTCTTCTGTTAGAAACTAGCTGTTGTTGTTAGGTGCGGTGGAATCGGTTCTGACTCGTAGTGACCTTAAGTACACTTATGAATGAAATACTGTCAAGTACTATGCTATCCTCACAATTGTTGTTATGTTTGTACTTGTTGCTGCCACCGTGTCAGTCCGTCTTTTGGGGGATCGTCCTCTGTTTTTTGTTCCTCCATTTTACCAAGTATGATGCCCTTCTCTAGGAAGTAGTCCTCCTTGACAACATGTCCAAATGAAAGGAAGTGTCACCATATTCACTTCCAAGGAGCAATCCAGCCATATTTCTTCCAAACCAAATTAGTTCATTCTTCTGGCAGTCCATGGTACTTTCAATACTCTTCATCAACACCATAGTTCAAATGCATAGATTCTTCTACAGGCTTCCTTATTCATTGCCCAACTTTTACATGCATATGAGGTGATCGAAAATACCATGGCTTGGTTTAGACCTTAATCCTTAAAGTGAAGTCATTGCTCTCTAACACTTTAAAGCAGCCAATTTGCCTAATATGATGTATCATTTTGTTTCTTGACTACAGCTTCTGTGAGTGTTAATTGTGGATCCAAGTAAAATTAAATCTTCAACAAGTTCATTCCTTTCTCTGTTTATTATGATATTATCTGTTGATCCAGTTGTGAGAATTTTTGTTTCCTTTATATTAATGTGCAATCCATACTGAAAGCTAGAGATTTTGATCTTCATCAGCAAATACTTCAAGTCCTCTCTACTTCCAACAAGAAAGGTTGTGTCATCTGCATATTGCAGGTTGTTAATATGCTTTCTTCCCATCCTGATGCCATGTTCTTCATATAATCCAATT